ATGAAGGTCAGTTTTTGTCCAACAGGAATGAATGATGGACCCTCTTTAAGCCGGATGAGTTCAAACCATCTTGCATTAACCTGATAAATGTGCTCAACATCAGCAAAGTGCTCCCAAACTGCTGCCGGCTGGTAATACTTATCAGAAAATCTCAACTGTTATCTCTAGCAACTTTTCTCAGATTATTTGTTTAATATCATGATGACTTAAAACCAAACAGTTTTCCCAAATTTTTCTGATGGTAAGACACTGCTGTTGTATAAAGTGCGGGATGCCTCTGGAAAACATGGATTCACTTTTGACGTTTGGAGGGTTTAAGGAAGGGACAGGCATTGGAAACTCATCGCTGCAGGGATCCAAGGCAGAAGATGTTTCTGACAATATATAATGAAACTTTTCTGGATACCCAACAGTATGCTTCATATAGATGGGAAGGTACTGATTGAGCCACATATTAAAGCTAGTAAATAAGTTAAAATAGCTACTCTTAACTCTATTTTCTCTTTTTTGACACTCTCTATAAACCTGATGGATGGTTCTGCGGGAAATTTTACTTATAGATCTTTAATCACCTAATAACTAACTTGCCAGTCTGCAACCAAAGCAAATTTGTGTTCTCAGTTGCCTCAATTCTCTTTATTTCTTATTTTGATCCACACCTTAAACCACGGTTATCCATCCTTTTCCACATCTTACCAAGTCCAGTTAGTTTCTCTTTTGTAATTGGCTCTTTTCCAATTGAAGAGGTGTGCTCAAAAGAAAATATGGTTAGTTATTGTACATAATCTGAAAGAGAGAATAAATTACAAATATATACATAAAAATCATGCATACCAATAGACAAAGATTTAAACTTGTGAACAAAAAATAAACTAATCTGTCATATTAATTAAACCCATAGTAACATGTCAGCATCTATCATCATTTTCAACATGTTCCAAAAGGAAAAATAACCTATGTTGCCCACATCAGAAACTGTTACTAACACTGATACCCTTGGAAAGTCCACAGTTTGGGGTTTGATCTGGAAGGTGGCTTGTGTGTCTAATACAGCAGTGATACACTAGCATTGTTGTCTGTGTTATCTTATTTTTGCATCTATTTACTGTTTTCTTTTTTTTTCATTTATCCAATTAGAGTTTAAATTGAAAGTTGTGCAGGTGTTTTCACTAAGCTGTCACATTTGCCTGAAAGTTAAAGTAAATCAGGTATTTACTTTCCTTGTGTTTTCACTATAGATGTATAAACAAAACGAGAGGTCTCACTGCTTACTTTACATATGCTTAATCTTGGAGGTGGACAGAATTTAAATGTTGCCGGATGTATTTCCTTTCTCTATTCTTCAAACTATTTAAGCTTTTGAAAGCAAATTTAAATATTTTTAAAACTTGGAAAATGTCTTGGGTAAATAGCAGGTTTGTGCTCAGTGAAAGAAGGACTGCAGGCAAAAGTTTGCTTTTCGCAAAGAACTAAATGCCATGATGTCGTAAACTTTCTCGAAGTTAAATGTGATGGTAATCATGAGCACTAACAGCATTGTAATTAGTCTGAGATGGTGGGATTCAACATTGCTCAGATCACTGATGTTGTTTATTTCATTTCACATGCAATGCGATGAGCGTCTGCAGATAAACATCAAAGGGAGTTGAGTTTTGTACCATTTTAATTTTTTACTTTTTATTTTTACAAATCCGTAAAAACAAAACCATTGTTTGTTTTTTCATGAATTCTGCTATAATTTAAACTCTGATTTAGATGTCCAATACTCTGGAGTAATATTTAATATTCAAGACATCTGTCCTATAGAAAAAAGGTAATTAACTATGCAATCTGATTAATAATCGAGATCTATGGATATTGAATCAGTTGGCACTTCATTTATGTATTTGCAAAGAAATGAGAACAAGACAATTATAACAACTCTCACAGCTTGATGTTGTGCCCTGCTCTGATTTAAAAAAAGTTTTCTCACAAACTTAAAGTCTGTAAAAGAGCTTTGAAGGTCTATATGTCTGAGTCTTTAATGTACTACTTAACTAACAAACTCACAGTGTATGTTGTATTCTTACTCCACTGGACTTAGATGTGAACTATGCACTGGAAAAATGATCTAGAAATAAGTAAAAATTTCTTAAATTAAGTGTATTTACCCTTGATTGGAGTAGGTAAATGAGATAGTTTGCCAGTGGAATCAGTATTTTTACTCTTAAAATAAGATAATTAGATAATATTTACTTGAAATAAGACAATGCAATTGTGTTTTCTTATTTTAAATCTAAATTGTCTTGTTCCATTGGCAAGATGTCTCTTTTGTCTCCTCAATTCAAGAACAAATGCACTTATTTTAAGAAAAAATGACTTACTTTGATTTTTTTTTGCAGTGTGCTGCTTTATATACTGCAAAAACGATCTAGAAATAAGTAAAAATGTCTTAAATTAAGTGTATTCACCCTTAATTTGAGCAGGTAAATGAGATAGTTTGCCAATGGAATGAGTATTTTTACTCTTAAAATAAGATAATTAGATAATATGCACTTGAAATAAGACAATGCAATTGTGTTTTCTTATTTTAAATCTAAATTGTCTTGTTCCATTGGCAAGATGTCTCTTTTGTCTCCTCAATTCAAGAACAAATGCACTTATTTTAAGAAAAAAATATTTATCAGGATTTTGATTTTTTGCAGTGCAGGAGGCATACCT